ACCCTAAACACCAAAAGCCTGAAAACCACCCAAAAAAAACGCTAAACCCTGAACCCCAAAAGCCCTAAAACCCCAAAAGCCCTTTAAAAACACCCAAAAGCCCCTTTAAAACCCACCAAAACCCTACCGACGTCTTCTCCTAAACCCTGAACCCCCAAAAGCCCCTAAACCCCCAAGAACCCTACCGACTTCTTTTCCTAAACCCTACACCCCAAAAGCCCTAAAACACCCCAAAAAAACCGTACCGACGTCTGTTCCGGCAGGCCGCCAGCCCCGGTGGCGGCACGGCGGCCGGAGACCGAAGCCCAGGCCCTGGGCCCGAGCCTCCCACAAAAAAAAGTGATGCTTTTTTTATACAGATTTTGTAATTTATAATGTTTTTTTATAGGTTTATAGGGACTTTGTAATTTAAAATATTTTTCTGAAAAAGGATTTTAGGAGAGCCTTTAAAAAGTATATTTTGACAGCTCGCTTAAAGCTCTTTGTAAGGACTTTGTAAAGCTTGTATAGGGTTTTATAAGGATTTTGTGAGGATTCGTTGATGGAGCTAGAGGGCCGCTGAATGCTTTTTAGGGTTCAGGGCTTGGCTTTCATAACTTTTATGCTCGATTCTACAAGGGTTCTATAAAGGTCCTGCTAAATCTTCCCGAGTAAAGCGAGCTAGTGACCACCCCGAAATGCAAGATTCATCCCAAAAGGACCCTCAAGGTCTTGTTTGGGGTTCAGGGTAAGGGTTTACGGTTTTTCCCAAAGCACTTCGTGCACTCAGGGCGTCCTCCCTTAAGTGGAGGAACATGAGGGGAAGCCTGTGCACGAAGCCATGCTCAGATCCTGGCCTTCGCCTATGGACCGGAAACAAGTGACTGTGCGAAGCAAGTGTGAACGGACAGATCTGTGCATAGGGCTGAGAAAAGCCTGAACCTTAAGCTCCAAAACTCTACTCACTCATCCGCCCCATACTACCCTGAAAACCCGCCGTTGTATCGCAAGCCCCCTCGCTGAAACTCAAGCCCTCTTAACTTCCAAGAGCCTTGGAGCCCTTAACTGAGTGGTTCGGGGCGTTGCATGCTCCAGTGCGCACCAAAACCACACAAAGGCAAACGTATAAAACAGCAGCCACAGGCACCTAGAGACACCTACTAAACCTCGACCCAAAAACCCCAAACCATCCAAACCCTCCTCACCTTCGACGGGCACAAAACAGCTCCCTCTGCCTTAACCCCTAAACCCTCATCCCTGAACCTCCAATCCCTAAACCTCTGTGCCCTAAACCCCCCTAAAACGCCCTCTCTGTCTGGCCTAGGAAGGCCGGCACGGGCATGGCCTGGGGCGCCAAAGGCTGGTTCTCCTGCGGGTTCAAGGGCTTTTTTGACCCTCACACTCGGCAAAACCAGGCGAGGTCTGTAGAGATGTGTGGTACTTACTTTGCACAAGAGTGGGGCGTGGGTTTAGGGTGTAAGGTCCAGGGCTTAGGTCATTCCTCTTATACCTGGGCCCAAAAAACCTACCTGTTTAGGATTTGTATAAGGGCATCACAACAAGGAACCCTAAAAAGGAAGGTTATATGAGGGTCTGGGTAAGGCTTAAGACATAATTTTAGAGTTTAAGGCTTTTGGGCTTAAGGCAACGTTGAGGGTTTACGGTTCTTAATGCGTTCTATTCTTTTCGACACGGCTGAACTCAAGGCGATAATGCATTACGGAATTAACTTTTACGATGGGGTTACAGGCTTGTTCGAATGGTTTAGGGTGTTTTGAAGCAGCTTTAGGTTCGTTAAAACGTGGTTTTGCCGCTTTTGAAGGCTCATGAAGCTTATGTGCTTCTTTGACGATTCAGCTTCTCAGCGTTTAGGGTTACGGGGTTTGGGGTTTGATGAAAATCCAGCCAAGGACATCCAAGGACCTTGTCAAAAAAAAACTGTGGCTTCCTGAAGTTCAGATCCCAAGCACTTAAGAAACCAAGCAAACTGGAAAGATGTGGCTCCTCCTGAGCCTCTACCAGACCTGGGGGAGCAATCACCTCCAAAGGGACATTGTGCATGGATCCAGGGTCGGTCTGGACTAGTTGCAGCATTACGAGCTTACGTTTGATTTGCGTCGAGCATAGGTGTAGGATGATGAAAGGGCCAAAAAGGCGCATCTACGTCCTCGTGCTGAATTCTTGGAGAGGGACTTCGTAGGTCGGTTTTAGGTACTTTTTAAGAATGCGCAATGGAAGGGTAACCTAGTTAAAAGCTCTACCTACGAAAGACTGACCACGTCCCGTGCACCCCTGCACGTAACATAATCTTGGGCCTTGGTCATGTTAAGACAGAAGCCTTTTCATACAACTCCTTTTGGGACTACAGGGGGGGGGGATGCTTTTACTAACTTTTCCGACCCCCTCCATAGCACAGTGGTGTGGACTTCGGGGCTTCAGGGCCTTTGGGAGTGATGATGTTGGTTGGGTCACTTTCCTGAGTAGCTCCGGACAGAGTGCCGAACAAAATATAGGGGCCTTAGTAAGGGGCCCCCACCCTGTAATAGTGACCATAAGGATTATATAGGGTTATATTAGGGCCCTATTATATTCCTATTATGCCACTATTACAGGGTGGGGGCAGCTTCTAATATGGGGGCCTTAGTAATTATAGAATAGGGGCTTGGGGCCCACTATACCATCACATCAGAATAAGGAACCCCCAAAATAGTGTAGGTAACTATTGAGGTCCCTGTAGTAGGCATATCTGGATTTCGGGAGAAGGGGTTCGGTTTGGGTCCAGGGCTTGCTGCCATCACTGATGCCGAAAATCTCAGAAGCACTAGGACGATCTAGCGCGCTGCAACACCCTAAACCCTCAAACCGTAGTGTATTGTTATCAATGCTAAACGTTACAAATCCCTCACCTTGCACTAATCCCTTCATCTTAAGCCTTTCGAAATCCTTTTGCATCAGGACTTGTGAAATCGCCTTCATGTTTGAGCAACACGGAGGCTCAGCTCTCATGACTGATCCCCCATGCCCTGCTCAAAAACGGCGGTGGGACAACCTCGAAGACACAAACACGATCCATAGAGACTTGCGAATAATGCACACCACGAAGGACCTAAACCCTGAAGATTCCAAAGCCCAAAACCCTTCAGCTGTGCTTGCAATGCGCTCATCATGCTTCAATGCTTCCTTTGACCCAACCCACAAGCCCGAAACCCTCGTCTAGTTGCTGAGTTCTGTGGCATCTTGTAATTGTAATGGGCCCCGATGAGCCAACATGGAGGTGGTATACTATGGTATACTCTTCCCTAAAACCCTAAACCATAAACCCTGAACCATGAAGCTATCAGCAAACTGCCTCCTTGCTGACCTTCCTTCGCCTTTCGTCCCGGTGCACCGTGTACTTGAGCCTGGCATAATGCGGGTTTAGGCTTTCGGCGCTCACACTCGGACAATCTAGGCGAGGCATGTGGTTCGAGTCTGTTGAGTGGAACGACTCTAGAGGGAATGTCAAAGCGGTTTAGGGTTTAGGGTTCTCGGTTTCGGACTCCGGATCTGGGTTTAGGGTTTAATACAGGGGCCTTAATAATTAGAATAGGGTTTGGGTCCCATTATACTATAATTATAATGAGGAACCCCCAAAATAGCATCGGTAATTATTTAGGCCCCTATATTTGTTAGGCCCTATATTAATCAGCAACTGGTCGTATTGGGGCTTTCGGCACTCACAGCTAGGTACAGCCAGGGAAGGTGGAGTCGATCTCTGGGCACATGAAGCCTCGTCTCTTACACTGGAGAAAGCAAAGCAATAACAGTTCACGGCCACACATGTAAAACTTCGACTAAAGGGTTTGAGATCCGTGGGGCTTTAGGTCTTTAGCTATCGGCTTTTGGGGTTCGCCCCTGGTTTGGGTGGACTGCCCGTGTGGTTTCATGAGTGATGAGGGTTGCGATACATCCTACATACCTGTGGGCCAGCGTTCATGCAAGCTACCCGTATCAAACAAGTTGCTGCGGCAATGGTGGCTCTTGGGAGGGCGTTCATTTGAGGAACCTGTCTCTGAGAGTTGAACACCTGCGCACCCTGGACATCCGTTTGCAGACCTCAGCCCTGTTTCAGGGTGTGGACTGAAGATGACTGAAGGTTGCAAGGTACAAGGGTGGGATAGGGATGGGGCCGGATAGGGCTTGAGGTGCATAACTTTTTGCCATCACGGGCACCAATGTGCTTAAAGCCCAGTGGCAACCTACAAATCCCAAGCCGTGAACGCTGATCAGAGAAATCTACAGGGCAGCCGAGTTACACCAACAGTGCGTGATTCGGGAACCACGGGAGCAGCGCAAGTTGCTCCTGCAGGGGGGGGTTGCAAAAGCCTAAACCCTTTTGCACCTAAACCGAAGCCTCTTTAAACTACCAGGCCTCTCAAGCCCATGCTGGGGATTCCCACTCGTCCTAGAACTCAGAAGAAAGTCAGTAAGCTCTTCTGTGGGCGTGGGTGTGGGGTTGAGGGTTAGTTTCTGTTGGACTCGTTGCAAGTCTGCACCATGCGAGTCAGGTGAATAGGTGTAGAGCAAGGATCTTTGAAACGAAGCCTCCGTTTCCAACCAACTCCATGCAAAGCAACCCACCAGCCGACAAGCCCAGTGAGGCTCTGTGCAAGCTGATGCTCCTTGGCGATGAGACCAGTGCCTGGGCCGAAAAAATTGACGAAGGGCCGTCAAAGGTGTGGCACAGGTGACTTCCGTAAACAAGGAAGGTTGCCTATATGTACCAGCACCTAGCACGGGATACCACTAGATCAACCCAACAGTTTTGAAATGAAGGGCCGGCCTGATTAATTTAGGGGCCTTAAAATCATTCTATAGAGTAGGGTTTTGGTGCATGTTATACTTCAATCAGAATAATTAAGGAACCCGAAACCATATTTGTGATTATTAGGCCCCTACATGAAAGTGCCTTGCAGGGCTTCAGGCTGATACGGTATACTTATCGGGGAACCCTGCAGAAGAATATTCTCCCGACACCACTCTTACAGCGAACAGTCCATGCCCCACATCCCCAGAGGATCCCCCGAGCCGTCGAAGAGGTCATCCTCATGTTTGAACAAGATAGCGTTTGGGGACTAGGGTTCGGGGGTCTGGAGTTTAAGAAATGAAAACGAGATTGCACGACAGATCGCTCAACGTCCTCTGTATTTGCAGTTTCTGCGATCCTGCTTACTCCAGAGCTCCCTGGGTACCGCCGCTGCTGTGGAGCCGAGTGGCGTAGGCCTCCATTGAGCCATTTCATTTCCTTGGCAGGGCTCGGTTCAAGGACGCAGTTTCATGATGACATTTTTGTTGTTATTGAGAGAAACCGTTGTGACGGTTGGGACACTGCACGGAGATGAAAAATTGTGCGTGCCATCCCTTCGCAGGGCCGTGCTAATCTTTTCTGCATCCTTTATCGCTCCACTTGTATCGGACCTTTAAGGTTTAGGGATAGGTTAGGATGAAACTTCAGCATTGCTCGAGTGCAAGGACAGTCTAGCGGACCCAGCTTCAAACGGATGCTTCAAAAAATTCTAAACCCATGAGGATCTGTGTTTGCACATGTCAATGTGGTACGTCTTCCAGGGTTCGCCTTTTGGCAGCCAGGTAACCACGTCTTAATCTTTAAACTCTCAACTCAACCCCGCCCCTGTGCCCGAACACAAATCGCAGAACTCAAACGGACCCAAAGGCTTGAAACTCAAAATCCTGAATCACTACAGAAGCGTTCTGGACTCCTTCTGAAATCCTCAAATATGAAAACCGAACGAAGCCGTGCAGCGTTCACCGTCTTCATGTCGAGGTTTCCCTCCTGCGTGTCCTCAGCTGAGATTTAACGGTAAACGGGGGCAGGCCGTCTCTGCCTGTAGTTCTTGCGCATGGCATGCTACTGTTCTCTGTATCGTTCCAATGTCATGGTTCACGGTTCAGGGTCTAGGGCTTCAAGGTTTTTGGGTACAGGCTTTGCGGCTCAGCACCTGCAGCAATAATTAACTTCCAACGGCATAGACAAACGTCTACAGTTTGGGGCTAAGCGACAAGCTATTGGTCTTAAGCTGTGGCATTTACAGAAGCGTCTACGGGTTAGCTTTTCCGGGCTTGGGGGCTCGGACTTTCGATGTGAGGCTGTCTACGTATGCTTCTTGCGTGGAGCTTACGCCCTTGAGACTGTTGAGGAATCCAGGAATCGATGGTCCAGGATTCCAAACTCCAAACCCCGTGGGCAAATCCCCTTCTGTCCATCCCAACCAAAACCCACAATGTTGGACACAGAAGCTGTCGGGCTCGTCTGCTTTCCTTGGCCTGCCTTGTCAACACGAAGCCAAGGCCGTTTAGAGCTGTAGCGGGTTAAAGCTATGGTTCAGGTTTACTGGGTTCCCCAAAGCAATGTGTTACCTTTTCGTTGAGAACGGATAGGGCGGTAGACCCGAGAAGTGTGGACCGGCAGTGCCACAAGTGTTCCTTTCAGACCCCACATCCCAAGTAACCTGCAACCCTAAGCCCTGTCTTCAAATATGGCAAGCCAGTGGCCGTGCGCATGTCCAGGAAGACCCACATCTTCTGCTTCTGGTCGCTGCCTCGACAGGATCAAGGTAGGGTTCCCGAAGATCTGGCTAGAGGGTTTGGGTGTAAAAGGCTTTTGGATGCTTTTGGTCTCGTAGTGGTTTTTCGTTTTCTCATTGGTGTTGTGGTTTTCCATCGTATGCACCGACAGCCACCCTAAAACTCAGAGTAGGCGTAAACCTGCAGAACCAAATCAAAACCCTGAAACGAATAAGATCATCAAAACTAGCCTCGCATGTCCAGAAAAAAACATGCCCCACCATTCCTGGCGCTGCCTTCTCCCTCGGAAGTCTCGTGCTTCGAGCTCTTCCTTAGCCGACGGCTGAAGCTGTGGTGGGAAGAGCACAGGCGCGGCGAGGAGCTTGCCACCCAACTCCGGCGGAGGCACCGGGGTGTTTGCCTCTATTGCCATTAGCTACTAGAGCTTAATCTCGAGTCTCGTTTTGACTTTGGGACTGACTACTGACTACACCCTAGACATCCCTAAACCCGAAACCCCTAAACCCTAAAACCCCTACACCCTAAACCCTACTCATAAATACATCCTGGTTTCCGCCCTTCTTCTCTCGTCTCCAAATCGCTGCGCTCATCACGAGGGCCATCCTTCGGCCTTTTCCAGCTGTGGATGATGTCCTTAGCGTTGAAGGAAAGGATTAGGGTTTGGAGTTTGGGGCTTAAGCATTTCGGGTTTTGGGTTTAGCTGCGGATGGTGTGTCCTCAGCTCCGGTTTTCGGGTTTCGGCGGCCACTCGGACAATCCAGGCGGGGGTTTAGGGATTTGGGGGGTTCAGGGTTTCGGGGGCGGGGGGGGGGTGGCGTTTAGGGTTAGGAATTTGGGGGGTGTTGGACTTAAGGATAGTCGGTGCCAAGGCCTGCAAATGGAGTTCGGGGAGATATGCAGTAATTCGGGACTTGAGGTTTGGGCCTTAGGACTTGGGACGAAGTGTTTTCCACTTTGCGGTACAAGGTTCAGGTGCTTAGGGATTGGGCTTAGGACTCTTCGGCTGCGAATTGGCCTCGCTCAAGGTGCATGGAAACCGGTACTGTATTGCCAGCTGCGCATAGCTTCAACATGCCTCAACAACCGCGGAGGCTTGGGTTCCCCCCGGTGCATTGCACTTAACATACACCGCCAACAAGCCATAAAGCAAAAATGCCTTAAACCTCAGCTCCAAACATCCTAACCCTAGACCCTAAACCCCAAACCCTAAACCCTAAACCCTAAGATGCAGGGGAGTCTAGGGCCCGGCAATGACATCCCGCAGCCTCAGCGTGCAAGAATCCGAAATGTCGCTTGGAGCTGCCGAGTTGCGATGTGGTTCAAAACCAACTCTCGAACCTCGGGGTCAAGGTTCCGTTAAAGGGTTCCTTTAAAGGAGCCCTTAACGGGATCCATAAAAGCTTCGTTTAAGGGTTTTTTGCCACCCGCCCAGCTGTCAGAGTCGCACCCCAGGGAATTCGTCCCAAACCAAACCACAGAAAGAGTGCAAGTCCAAAGTTCCAAATTGCTCACTGTCTCAAGAGAAAAACATCACCAACATCAAGACCCACGTGGACCGGGGTTTCCGGTAAGACACATCGGGACTTTGGGGATTCAGGGGCGTGAAAGCTGTTTGTAAGGTACCCCACGCCCTAGACCTCTATGTTTGCGTGGGATGCCCAAGTGCGACACAGGAACAAACGTGGAGCTGCAAGTGCCCGGTGTGAACGAGTTTGGCATGAAGCAAGTTAGCACAAGCTCCTACAATGATATCGGCCAACATCCTGAAGGGGACCCTTGCATCACCAATCCTCAACCAAGAACAAATTCTACGTTAGGCCCCAAGCCTCTTGTGACATAAAACTGTAAGCACAGAACTTCCATGACTGAAGCATATATACGGTTTAAGGCGTAAGGTCCTAGATTTGGTCATGATATCACCCTTGCACAACGACGGCGGGGCATGTAAGGCAATAAAACGGAAACTATGAGAAGCCGGAACCGTCGCGGCCTCCTCCACTTGTTCGTCGTGGTTTAAAGGGATGTCACCCTCGTAGGTCGTCTTGCTCTCGGGCCAGTGCCACACAATCCTTGAATTTCGGGGTGCTCGATTACAACAGATCTAGTGACTCACTGGAGTAGCACTCAAGAGAAACAGTTGCAGTGCACTTTGTGACTCAAGTTCAATCTAGAACACCCCGCCATGCTGCTGGTCGCTGAACTAACTGTTCTGGCCGTTCCGGAAATCGTTTCATTGCAATAATCAAGAGCTCGGCCATCATGTTTGCGAACTTGTTCGCTATTCGTTACTTTGTTGCCTGGCCATCATGATGCCACGCATCTCTATTGTTGTGGCTTCTGATGAGCTGCAACACACGATGCTGCGACACGGATTTTGACTTTGTCTTCCCATCTCAAATATGTTACTGTTTCTTGTGTCGTTATGGAAAATGTTGCCCATTTTGCTGCGACGTCTGTGCGACCCGAAACCTCTCCACACCTTCGTCTCACCGAACGCCCGCGCAAGGAACCCTACATCAACCCGACAGAGACTCTCAGCCAACAGTGCAAGCATGCGGCAAGCTCTTCACATAAGCTGGATCGGAACACTCTAGGAAGTCGAAGATCCTCAGGTGGAACATGGCCGAAGACTTGCGGCCACGACACTCCGTGTAGTGTGCTACTTGTATCATGTTCCGCTTTCTTTCGGACATCATTCCGGGAAGGGCGCATAATGGTACGAGTGTAATGCCAACATGAAGGAAAGCCAATCATCGGAACAACATGCCATCACGGCTCACAGCTACCTCGTCACACGGTAGATGTTACACTGACACTAAGATACACTGCAACAGAACAAAAAATATGCACATCTCGTTTTGCCGAGTCACAACCTGCAAAGTTTCTTCGACTCCGGACCAAGAACCCGTGCAGGACTATCTTTGCCTTGCGCGAAAGCAACGCTGAGGTCGGCACAAATGGCTGGAACGTCTGCATATTGTAGCCCGGGCATGAACAATACCGTACAAATTCATACACCTAGCGAGGCTATCCTTTCTTATCGCCCCTCCCGTGAAGACACGGATCTGCTGTGAACCCCAGCCTAGGCGAGGGTGCAGCGCCATAAGGAAGGCGTATCGGCAAGCCGATGGGATGCTGAGCAATCTTTCGTAACCTCAGCCGCATATGAGTAGTACAGCATGGACTACGCCTGAGCTAAACCAGCAAGCTTCTAAAACTGGCCATACACTGGCAGGTTGTTGCTGGTCGTAAACCATGCTTTTACCCGAAATAATGCATCATGGCAGCCTTCCATTGTCGCGTTCCTTGGCCGATTCACCGCAACCCTACTTGGACGACAATGAACACCCTGCCCTTCGACAAAATCAACCGTCTGGAAACTGATATGCAATGTGGTCATGGGGCAGGGGGCAGCAACGGTCAGGTCGTAGTTCGATTGCTTGATAACGACTGTCCACCCAGCATCAATTGATTTGCGCGGCATCTTGACGGATGCACGTAACTGGTGGCAACAGCGCCGTCAAGTGCAAGGGCAGCGGGGATTCGTGCGTTATGTGCAGTCACTGCGCCTGCAAACGCACCACGATGTGCCCGCTCATACCAGCGCACATGCTCCAACCCCAACGAACACGACGAAAAGGGCGGTTGCTGAGAAGATGCGGCTGCACTTTCGTGCGGCTGGTACAAGGGAAAACCCTCATTGTGATGATGATAACAGCAGCAGGAGCAGCAGCAGCAGCAGCAGCCGGAGCGGGAGCCGGAGCGGGAGCGGGAGCGGGAGCGGGAGAGGGAGCGGGAGCGGGAGCGGGAGCAGGAGCAGCAGGAGCAGGAGCAGGAGCAGCAAACCATTCGTGGTTCCGATGCACAAACGACGGCACGAAGTCCAAGCTTCACCCGACGTCCAGCGAGTCCAGTCCCGGGAAGGGCCATAGGGAGACGAAGAGGGAGTGCCCCATGCACAGTACCAGGAAGGTCACCCAAGGTCAAGGGGTCCCCATCGACATTGGCAATGTGGGAAATCGGGAGGGAAGGAAACTCGCTGCGAAGAAGGCCGTGTGGCTGCGAAACAAAACCAGCCGGTGACGTAGGCGGCGATGGCGCTCGCATGTTTACGTCCGCACAAGGTGTCCCACCGTCGGTAACTACCTGGATGCTTACGGGGTGCTAGCGCAGCAGCAGCCGGCTCGGGGCGCTCGCTATCGCGAGGTCCAAGACGTCACCCGGCGGGAGCGCGTCTGGCGCAACTTCAGATCGTTGAGGTTCTCCTCGGGTCAACTCCGGGTAGCGCGCGGCCTTGATCGGCCTTGCGTCGGCGCGAGATTGGTGGGGCTCGCACCCGGCTGTGGGCGGGAAGCCGAATGAGCTGGGCAGCCTCAATGCTCTGGCGGCGGCCGCGCTCGATTCCAAGCACTATACGAGCCGGCACCTTGCAGAACGTAGGAGTTCGGAGCAGTTTTCATTTTTTGTTCGGGTTATGTCCGCCCCGCTGCGTTGCGAACGATGCGTATGCACATAGGGCAGCACCGGCTGTCGTGCGTTGGTGGCGGCGGGGCGTTTGCATGGCTTTGCCCTGCCGAATCTACGGTACTTGACCTCAGGGAAAGTCGGCAAGGCCTGGGCAAGGCTGTCAGCCATCTGGCCATGAAAAAACCGGATCGGCATTCCAGCAATTCTGTCGGACGGGTACCAGGCCTTCCTGCGAGCGAAGCGGCCCAAGCTGTATGCAATGCATTGGGGGATATTGGCGGCAGATTGGAGGGGCTGAGGCCGATGTGTTTTCTTTGAACACACCTAGTTGCGACAGCACGAAAGCAACGGTCCGGTCCCGGGGCTGGTCGTGTTGCTCCGGCAACCGAAAGGGAATGGGGGTGAGCTGGGCTCGGCAACCGGCGCCAGCGAAGGCGCGAAGACCTTGTGCAGGGCTGCCAGCGACAGCGCAGCCCCACCCGGCTTCCTGGAGCCGTCGTGTGGCGGCGGCGGCGAGCTCAGGGTCTCGCAGGGAAATCGTTTGCAGAAGTAAACGGCGAGGGCGTGCTGGGCGGAACTGCGCAAACCAAGTCCACTATGCTGGGGATTATTGCTGGAGGCATCCCCGTTGCGTGGTCAAAGCGTCGAGCGGTGCAGCGACGTAGTATCCAGGGGCGGGCTATGTCGCACTCAATCTGCTCGCAATTTGCGAAGGCCTCGGTAAGCGCAGGAGTACGTGGGGCTGGCATCGTGCCGGTGGCAAAACTCATCCATCAGCAGAAGAAAATGTTTCGCTTTTCGCAGGCACACAAGAACGGGCCGAAACCTCAATATTCAGTCGTAGCAAAATCGCGCCTCAAAACCTGGGGGGCGCGTTTCTGATTCGACTTCGGGTGTCCGGGGACATCGGAACACAAGAACTTGGAAGGGCCGACGGCACTGCCATCGCAAAGCCGCACCGAATCTCTTTTTTTCTCCGCGCACCTTTTGAATCCTGTTCGCGGGGGATTCCGGGGGTAGCAGTGCACGACGGTGAGCAAGGTTCGTTTCCGAACAAGAACTCTCTTTTTGTTAACACCATTTTGCAAACATCCGAGCGCGGCCCCAGTGCAGCAGATTACCGGGCGCAACCTGATCGAGGAGAAGACGCCACCCGACCTAACCTAGCCGAACCTTACGAGAGGCGTGAGGCAAGTGGCGGCACCTCCGACGAGTTTGCGAGAACGTCACTCAGGAGAGGCGGCTCGCCGTCAAGGTTGGCAGTGTTGGAGATGGGAAGGGACAGCAAGCTGGCTGCGAGGGAACGTGCAGCTGCGACAGAAAGAAACCCACACCACCTTGCGAGAGAAGCAGCAACGCATGCTGCCCGCTGCGAGGGAGCCGCGCTTCGAGAGCGTGCCCTTGCCAGCAAACGGATGAACGTGGCTGCCTCTGCACTCCAGCGACCCCCAACCTCGAGGCCAAGGACAACCAGTCGGCACCGATGGGCACCAGCGAACAAGAGCTCATGACAAGCGGACGCAGCTGCATGTTAGATTAGACGAATAGCAGGTTCTCACCAAAAACAAATTCAAGCAACTCACGCTAGAACCAGCCCTGCGCCGCAGCAACCCCAAGCGGAACAAGGGCCCTTAAGGCTCAGTGATGCTCACTGATGGACGAACTTGGCCATGGATCGGAGCGACTGCTTGCTCCATGTTGCTCCAGTGCTCCTCCGGTTTTGCACGCCAACACACGCAGCCTCTCGTGTCCCGGGGTGGGGTTCGACTTCGGCAGTTCGCTTGCAGCGTTGCGCAGCGGCGTCCAGTGGCAGGAAACGGTTGTGGACGTTCCTGACGGTTCAGTGCTGACGGTGCAGCGCAACGCTTCGCCGAGCAATGTGGCACCGACGGCTGGGCCCAGGTCCGAATTAGCCCCAAACGCAGGGCGGCCTACCGAATATGCCCGATATTGTGATCCCTGCATGCTCACACCAGGAAAGCACACCGCCACACGGGCAAACGTTGTAATCATCGTGATCACACTAAACGTCGACTGTGGTGCCACGTGTCCCCTGCCCCGCACTTGCCACTTGCCTGGCCTCCGCAAGCACATCGCAAAAACATGGAAAAACTCCAGCAAAGCGGGCAAGGAATCTTGCCGACAGCACCAGCAAGCGGTCTTACTGTTTCGATGTGCCGCGATGTTCGTGTTCCAGCAAATCTTCAAGTTCTGTTTGAGGCGGTGTGGTCGCTGCCCGAGTTGGAACCCTTGCCGTCAATTTTGCTTGCAAGTAGCCTGCTTGTCGGGACAACCGATGCGGGAGCCTGCTTCGAAGTGTTCCAAATGAGGGCGGCCGTGTGCGACGCGCTGTGGACCCGTGCTATCCCGTGCTCGAATGTGCTCGAGTCCACGTCACACTCACGTCAATCGCGTTGGTTTTTTTGTCGTATGCACCCTTCCGCAAATGCAAGTTGAAGACGGACCACCAACTCAGGTCTGCGGCGGCGTGCACTAAACCCGGAGCTGCCTGCCAGCGAGCGTCTGCAATGAGTTCGCTTCACTGCAGAAGAGGTCATTCCATCGGAGGATGCGGCAGGGGCCCTCGCTCGCGCTCGGACAATGACGCGGACAAGGGTGGCGGGTGCTTATCAAGGTTTCGCTGCCAATCGCTGTGCTCGGTTCCAGAAAGACTTGCGAAGCACAGCTGCAGCGGGACCGTCGCCAACATCACACCTTTCTGCAATGCACCCGTGTGTTGTTCTTGTCGGTTCCCACTCGAGCAACTGTTTGTTCTATAATGCTCTGAATGCGA